TCCGCCACTGCATGCTAGGCTAAAAAAGACGTTTGAATATATCTGTTAAAAATACAGGTGTAAGGTCCCTACAAGCATCTCACAACTGAAAATGACCATAGAAGATAAAGAACAGCTTGCAATGGTTAGTAGGACATCCAAAATCCACACTAGGTCTTCTCAAATGAAAAAGATTACTTTTTTAATGTCACATACCCATTATGATAATAACAACAGCAAATCTCTTAAAATGACCTACCAGGCAGTTTTCATCAAATACTTCAAAGAGAAGCCAATGCTTCTCAGGAATAATCTAAAACAAACGGTACAATCTAGTTACTTTGTTTTGAAGAAAAGCAGAATTAACTAGTAAAAATGTGTTTTGCACCAGACAGGGAATGTGCAATTTCCATCCATCTGAGGGCAGCACCAGGCTTTATGCAGGATGTCAAGGATCTTTTTCCAAAAGCGGATGGGTTAGAAACCATGGGGGTGAGGGTGGGGGGGTGGTGGCACATCTTACAGAGTTTTAAGGGATGAAATGGATATCTGAAATTTCTGAAAGATTTAAAGCATTTATTTTGCCCTTGTCCTTCACTCCATTCCAGAAAGTGCAATGCAAAAAGGGGACGGTTTTTTGGCCCCAGCCCTCAGGGTTGCAAAATGATTCCACCCCTATGCTAGACTGGACTCACTGGGAGTTGGGCAGCATATAAATTTATTAAGTTATTATCATCATCATCATTAACTTAAAACAGTGTGTCTTACCCTATGTCAGATTACTTTGTTTAATCTGATACATCAATATACTGTACCACAAAGCCATTTACCCGAAATGCAAATTCTTCATTCCACTTTGGATTCAATGTCTGTGAGTAAAGAGAGAGTAAGTTACTACACAGAATACAAAGCTGTCCTTTGCTGCAGTTTCCCCCAAATGAGTGTCCTTCCCAAAAACTCCAGCAGAATGAACCTCTCGGGCCATCAGGTGAAGGTGCCACCAGTGAGAAGCAAATTGCAGAGATAGGTGGCATCAAGGAAGCTGGAAGGAAATGCAGATCAGCAAAAGTGCCCCAATCACCCTCCCTCCCTCGAATCATTCTGTCTTGCACAGAGCAAAGATATAGCTGCTTTCGAACATCTGCACTAAACCACCATGATGTTTGTTCGGTTTAAGGTTAGCCTCAGCCACTGTGATTTGTAAGCCATGGTTAATGGCTCAGTGCAATGTGTGAATCAGGCCACAAGGCTTGTTCAGCAAACGAAGGCTTCAGCTATGTGTGAACTGACCCTTGTATCTACAGTCAAAATATAGCAAACAGCATTCAACGCTTCTCAAAAGTACAAAAAGTTATCTTTTAAGTGTATATCATTTTGCCAATGTATGTTGATATTTTGTAATAATAGCTGTTTTAGGCTACAAATAAAACTTGCCCAAGCAATTGCTGTTCCACACCCACCTGATTTTGCATCAATTCATTATGGGAAAATGTGAAGTCTAAACTTTTTAACAGTTTTTGTTTGAATGCTGGTAAGAATCCTTTCCCTTTCACACAAGGATCACTGCGCAAAATGCAAGAGGCCGCATTATTTGGCAGAGCAGCGAAGGAGCCCAAAGGCCCGGCGTCCCGCGGCCGATTCGCCCAGCAGCCAGCCAGAGGCCCACGGGGCAGAGGGGGCTCCTCCCGCCCAGTCAACAGCCCTGGGCCCCAGGAGGCACCCTCTGAACTATGCCAATCTCCTCCTAAACCAGAAGAAACTCTCACCGTGGTTTGTTTAATCCGGAACACTTTTGGAGGCTTGCAAAGCAACTTACTTCGGCCACGCCGCCCTCCCAGAGCGCTCACAACCCAACTCTTCCAGGGGGCTCCGAGGGACGGGTCGGGAGGAACGCCCAGCTTCTCCGCAGCAGGCCCAACCG